AATACCTGTACTTTCTACTTCTTACATGTTGAACTCAAATACCTGTACTTTCTACTTCTTACATGTTGAACACAAATACCTGTACTTTCTACTTCTTACATGTTGAACTCAAATACCTGTACTTTCTACTTCTTACATGTTGAACACAAATACCTGTACTTTCTACATGTTGAACACAAATACCTGTACTTTCTACATGTTGAACTCAAATACCTGTACTTTCTACTTCTTACTTGTTGAACCCAAATACCTGTACTTTCTACTTCTTACATGTTGAACTCAATACCTGTACTTTCTACTTCTTACATGTTGAACTCAAATACCTGTACTTTCTACTTCTTACATGTTGAACTCAAATACCTGTACTTTCTACTTCTTACATGTTGAACTCAAATACCTGTACTTTCTACTTCTTACTTGTTGAACCCAAATACCTGTACTTTCTACTTCTTACATGTTGAACTCAAATACCTGTACTTTCTACTTCTTACATGTTGAACTCAAATACCTGTACTTTCTACTTCTTACATGTTGAACTCAAATACCTGTACTTTCTACTTCTTACATGTTGAACTCAAATACCTGTACTTTCTACTTCTTACATGTTGAACTCAAATACCTGTACTTTCTACTTCTTACATGTTGAACTCAAATACCTGTACTTTCTACTTCTTACATGTTGAACTCAAATACCTGTACTTTCTACTTCTTACATGTTGAACCCAAATACCTGTACTTTCTACTTCTTACATGTTGAACACAAATACCTGTACTTTCTACTTCTTACATGTTGAACTCAAATACCTGTACTTTCTACTTCTTACATGTTGAACCCAAATACCTGTACTTTCTACTTCTCACATGTTGAACTCAAATACCTGTACTTTCTACTTCTTACATGTTGAACTCAAATACCTGTACTTTCTACTTCTTACATGTTGAACACAAATACCTGTACTTTCTACATGTTGAACCCAAATACCTGTACTTTCTACTTCTTACATGTTGAACTCAAATACCTGTACTTTCTACTTCTTACATGTTGAACACAAATACCTGTACTTTCTACTTCTTACATGTTGAACCCAAATACCTGTACTTTATACTTCTTACATGTTGAACACAAATACCTGTACTTTCTACTTCTTACATGTTGAACACAAATACCTGTACTTTCTACTTCTCACATGTGTAAAGGAATATTTTAGTCTTGTTAAAGTATATAGAGTTTAGTGACTTGTCCTCGGGAATCTGTTTAATATGGTTGAAGTGTATTCCTGCCTGTAATGTGATCCATAGCTTCTCAGGAAGACACAGGTCAAGAGGTCATCTGATGTCTTGTGGGGGAGAAGCTTGGCTCATGTGGGTTTACAATGCAACGAGTCTTTGTCTCGACATCTGGCATGCATTAAAGGAAAACCCGCGTGTTTTAGGGCCCTCCTCTCTTTTAGGGTATAGATGTGTGCTTGGCGCTTTTTGTCTTCAGAGTTGGCTGGTATCTTACAGGGGAACTGTAATATACTGTGAACTCTCCGGCCGCTCAGGCTCTCAATAAATATCAGTGTATTGACAGGCGAATCCAGTTTCACTCATTTCATGATTGGCTCAACATTGCTGCAAAGAAGTTTTAACTTCACAACATGTTGAACTCAAAAACCTGTACTTTCTACTTCTTACATGTTGAACTCAAATACCTGTACTTTCTACTTCTTACATGTTGAACTCAAATACCTGTACTTTCTACTTCTTACATGTTGAACCCAAATACCTGTACTTTCTACTTCTTACATGTTGAACACAAATACCTGTACTTTCTACTTCTCACATGTTGAACTCAAATACCTGTACTTTCTACTTCTTACATGTTGAACTCAAATACCTGTACTTTCTACATCTTACATGTTGAACACAAATACCTGTACTTTCTACATCTTACATGTTGAACTCAAATACCTGTACTTTCTACTTCTTACATGTTGAACACAAATACCTGTACTTTCTACATGTTGAACACAAATACCTGTACTTTCTACTTCTTACATGTTGAACTCAAATACCTGTACTTTCTACTTCTTACTTGTTGAACCCAAATACCTGTACTTTCTACATGTTGAACTCAAATACCTGTACTTTCTACTTCTTACATGTTGAACTCAAATACCTGTACTTTCTACTTCTTACATGTTGAACTCAAATACCTGTACTTTCTACTTCTTACATGTTGAACTCAAATACCTGTACTTTCTACTTCTTACATGTTGAACTCAAATACCTGTACTTTCTACTTCTTACATGTTGAACTCAAATACCTGTACTTTCTACTTCTTACATGTTGAACTCAAATACCTGTACTTTCTACTTCTTACATGTTGAACTCAAATACCTGTACTTTCTACATCTTACATGTTGAACACAAATACCTGTACTTTCTACTTCTTACATGTTGAACACAAATACCTGTACTTTCTACATCTTACATGTTGAACTCAAATACCTGTACTTTCTATTTCTTACATGTTGAACACAAATACCTGTACTTTCTACATGTTGAACACAAATACCTGTACTTTCTACTTCTTACATGTTGAACACAAATACCTGTACTTTCTACTTCTTACATGTTGAACTCAAATACCTGTACTTTCTACTTCTTACATGTTGAACACAAATACCTGTACTTTCTACTTCTTACATGTTGAACTCAAATACCTGTACTTTCTACATCTTACATGTTGAACTCAAATACCTGTACTTTCTACTTCTTACATGTTGAACTCAAATACCTGTACTTTCTACATCTTACATGTTGAACTCAAATACCTGTACTTTCTACATCTTACATGTTGAACTCAAATACCTGTACTTTCTACTTCTTACATGTTGAACACAAATACCTGTACTTTCTACTTCTTACATGTTGAACACAAATACCTGTACTTTCTACTTCTTACATGTTGAACTCAAATACCTGTACTTTCTACATCTTACATGTTGAACTCAAATACCTGTACTTTCTACTTCTTACATGTTGAACACAAATACCTGTACTTTCTACATCTTACATGTTGAACTCAAATACCTGTACTTTCTACTTCTTACATGTTGAACACAAATACCTGTACTTTCTACATGTTGAACACAAATACCTATACTTTCTACTTCTTACATGTTGAACACAAATACCTGTACTTTCTACTTCTTACATGTTGAACACAAATACCTGTACTTTCTACTTCTCACATGTTGAACACAAATACCTGTACTTTCTACTTCTTACATGTTGAACTCAAATACCTGTACTTTCTACTTCTTACATGTTGAACTCAAATACCTGTACTTTCTACTTCTTACATGTTGAACTCAAATACCTGTACTTTCTACTTCTTACATGTTGAACTCAAATACCTGTACTTTCTACTTCTTACATGTTGAACTCAAATACCTGTACTTTCTACTTCTTACATGTTGAACTCAAATACCTGTACTTTCTACTTCTTACATGTTGAACCCAAATACCTGTACTTTCTACTTCTTACATGTTGAACACAAATACCTGTACTTTCTACTTCTTACATGTTGAACTCAAATACCTGTACTTTCTACTTCTTACATGTTGAACCCAAATACCTGTACTTTCTACTTCTTACATGTTGAACCCAAATACCTGTACTTTCTACTTCTCACATGTTGAACTCAAATACCTGTACTTTCTACTTCTTACATGTTGAACTCAAATACCTGTACTTTCTACTTCTTACATGTTGAACCCAAATACCTGTACTTTCTACTTCTTACATGTTGAACCCAAATACCTGTACTTTCTACTTCTTACATGTTGAACTCAAATACCTGTACTTTCTACTTCTTACATGTTGAACTCAAATACCTGTACTTTCTACTTCTTACATGTTGAACACAAATACCTGTACTTTCTACTTCTCTCATTTCCCAAACAGCTGGTTCCTTTAGTCTGAATGTGTGTTTGATGCGTGATCATTATTCTTTAGAGTCATTGCGTGCCTATTGATTTGAACACGATCCGTGTATCCATCATTTCCTGGTCTTCTCTAAAGAAGAGGGACCAATGGAAACGTTGTCATGTTGCCGTTGTTCAGCATGGAAACATTCATTAGCTAACAATGACATTATTGTTCTATTAATATAAAGGGAGGTCAGGTACTCTTTAAAGCAGCTGCTAGTTATGGGTACTTTTTACTGAAGTACATTTCAAAGCCTCTTTACTTTGACTTGAGTAGAGAAGTTTAGTCAGTACTTCTACTTTACCAGAGTATTTTTAAACACGAGTATGTGTACTTCTACTTGAGTAAAGGATGTGTGGACTTTTGACATCTCTGATGCTAAGTACACTCTACCAGATAAGAGTCAGCACTTTTGTAAAGGATACACACAAGGGTTTTTGTAAAGGGTGTATGACAAAATGGAGGCCTACACCTTTCCTACAATCACTACAAATAATCAGCTGAAACAATTCTCACAATGTCTAACTCTCACACTGTTGGCATAAGAAGACACACACCTCTCTGACTTTGTCCAACACACTAATTTAACCCCAAAAAAATCTCACGCTGAATGTGAGAAAGCCACAGAGCTTCTCCTCGATAGAAGATAATCTATGGAGCAAATACGTACAATAATCCAATAACAAACACTACAACAACAACGTGCTGGTGCTTGGAGACAATATGGACTTTACTTGGAAGAGTTGGCGGACTATACACTGGGGCTAAGACCCTGCGGAGGAGGAGGAGGAGGAGGACCTGGTTTCGATCCGACCACGGGACCCTTTACACCATTTCAATATTTGTTTTTAAAAAGGACTCTACATTGGCTGTAGTGTATTCCCAGAACAGCTTTTCTGATTTCATGTTCTAGAGAAATGAAAGTGTCTCAAAGGGAAAAACATTATAATAATAAATAATAAAGAGATATATTTTAGACTAATGGACAATTTATTAAAAGACTCGAGCAGAATAACTTACGTATAGCTTTTGGTGATTTGAGGACGATGTAACAGCAGTAGAGCATCAGCAGGCCGGTGAGGATGAGGATGATGATCCCCAGAGTGAAACCAGCCTGGAATATACAGCAGATAGTAAATGGTAAATGTGCTGAAGCTCTTTTCCAGTCCTTACGACCCCCCAAAATATTTTGGACTGTTTATTTCTAGTGTCTTAATTTCTCTAATGTACATTGTCTTTCTATGCTGCTGCAACGCAAACATTTCCCAATTTGGGATCAATCCTCTTCAATGGCTGTGCCAAGTTGCTGGATATTGGCAGGAACTGGAACACGCTGTCGTATACGCCGATCCAGAGCATCCCAAACATGCTCAATGGGTGACATGTCCGGTGAGTATGCTGGCCATGCAAGAGCTGGGATGTTTTCAGCCTCCAGGAATTGTGTACAGATCCTTGCAACATGGGGCCGTGCATTATCATGCTGCAACATGAGGTGATGGTCGTGGATGAATGGCACAACAATGGGCCTCAGGATCTCGTCACGGTATCTCTGTGCATTCACAATGCCATCAATAAAATGCACCTGTGTTCGTCGTCCATAACATACGCCTGCCCATACCACCACCATGGGCCACTCGATTCACAACATTGACATCAGAAAACCGCTCACCCACACGACGCCACACACGCTGTCTGCCATCTGCCCTGCAGTGAAAACCGAGATTAATCCGTGAAGAGAACACCTCTCCAACGAATGTAAGCATTTGCCCACTCAAGTCGGTTATGACGACGAACCGGAGTCAGGTCGAGACCCCGATGAGGACGACGAGCATGCAGATGAGCTTCCCTGAGACGGTTTCTGACAGCTTGTGCAGAAATTCTTTGGTTATGCAAACCGATTGTTGCAGCGGCTGTCCGAGTGGCTGGTCTCAGACGATCTTGGAGGTGAACATGCTGGATGTGGAGGTCCTGGGCTGGTGTGGTTACACGTGGTCTGCGGTTGTGAGGCCGGTTGGATGTACTGCCAAATTCTCTGAAACGCCTTTGGAGACGGCTTATGGTAGAGAAATGAACATTCAATTCACGGGCAACAGCTCTGGTGGACATTCCTGCTGTCAGCATGCCAATTGCACGCTCCCTCAAAACTTGCGACATCTGTGGCATTGTGCTGTGTGATAAAACTGAACATTTCAGAGTGGCCTTTTATTGTGGCCAGCCTAAGGCACACCTGTGCAATAATCATGCTGTCTAATCAGCACCTTGATATGCCACACCTGTGAGGTGGGATGGATTATCTCGGCAAAGGAGAAGTGCTCACTATCACAGATTCTTTCAGATTTGTGAACAATATTTGAGAGAAATGGTTATTTTGTGTTTATAGAAAATGTTTTAGATCTTTGAGTTCATCAAGAAAAATGGGAGCAAAAACAAAAGTGTTGCATTTATATTTTTGTTCAGTGTATCTACCTACCTGTCCATCTATCCATCCATCCATCCATCTGCCTACATTAACCTGCCTGCCTGCCTACATTAACAGCCGCTTCAGAAGGCAAACCAATACAACTTTTTAAAAACAGAACGTGGAAATATAACAACAGAAATGAGCACAACTTGTTAATGAGGCACTCCTAAGTATCTTGCCAAGAACAAGGTACTTCACATATCCAGATTTAGGTGAATTCAAAGAGCACATCCTGCAGAATAACTAAGGTCAATACGCAGCAGGTCATGTTTAAGGAGTATGAGTAGTAAAGCGATTCACCTGCTTTATACCCCAAGGTATGCTGAGTATAGATGTTCCCATCATTGTGTTCCATATAGCAAATCTGCAAAGTTGAGATGAAAGCAAGGTCAGAATGAAAGCAGTCGGAGTATGAAGAGCACATTTAGCTCAGGGTGATGGACTGTTCAGCTGACGGGGCTTACATGGTGATGATACTGGGGTTTTTAGAGGAGTGGTCGCTGCCTGTCACCTTGAAAGCTGTCCCCAGTGGGCTGTAGATGTAGATCTCCTCTGTGTGCGGGATCACATGGTCTGGAGGACTCTGAAGGGGAAAGAAAACAGAATTTATTTATTTTTATTCCCCACATGGCAGTTATTTTAAAAAGGTACCCTATCATGCTATTTTTAGGCAATAGCATAGGTCTCAGATATATACAAATATATAAAAAACATGTCTATGAAGTGTTTTGCTCAAAATACCAAACAGATCACCCATTCTAGCCATGCCTCATATCCCTCTATTTCCCTTCCTGTTTCAAAAGTGCTGATTTGGGGTATAAAGCTTTAAAAAAATAAAATTTGATAAAAGAGGAGGGGTCTGAGCTCATGCGGGACCCGGCAGCTACTGTCTAAACTAAATGCTGCCGTGATGAAACGCCATAGCATGGATTATCAAGGATTCTCTCTGAAACAGTTTGGAGCTCAAAGGCTTTCTCTCTTGCCGGTTATACCACAAGGTGAGTTCCTTTTTACTTCCTGCTTCTTCACACACATGCTCTCCAGTACAGGTTAGCTCTGAGTGTTAGCGATGCTAATGTAAACACCGACCATATTACGTCCAAAGCAGTCGGGCATTGTTTCTGATAGCAACGTTTCTGATTGGGCCGTGGGTCCACATTTCAGATATTACGTCATATCGGACGCAAATCTGGATCAGCTCCGTTGTTCCCCGTTTTTAGAGATTTGGGTACGGAGGAAAAGAGAGAGGGTTTTATTTTCTGACGCTGCGTGAGTTCCCCGACACACCGGGGACACATGTTTATGTATAAAAGACATCAAGAAGTGCATTTTGCCTGATAGGTCCCCTTTAAAAACAAAACATGTACACTTATACTGTTGTTTTTTTTATAGCGCATGGTGGAAGGAGCAGGGAGAAGAAAATCTTATTTTACCTGCCTCTTAAAAATAATGAAATAACCATAACAATTAAAAATAAAAGCAATATTCTTTCAGTCACAGTTGCTTACAAATACTGAAACATAAAACCAGAACACAATCAAAAGCCAACTTCATACTGTCTAAAATTAAGACTTTATGTACACTTTGTCCGGAGGAATTTCTTGGGTTACAATCTTGTGCAAACTCTTTACAAGTAGTAAATATATGTACAGTGTTTCCCACAGAATTGTGATTCTATTAACCTATTCGGGTGGCCCACGCATCTACCCCCCAATTAAGAAAATACATGCAAGTTCATGGCTACTGTAGACAACGTTCTTGTTGCTCTGTGTTGCGTTGTTAATGAGTGAGACACACCGGAGTTGAGGATCTGCAGGGTTTATTCTCTCAAAAATATAATTTACAATTTAGACATTTAGCACCTTATTCCAAAGCGACTTACAATGACCAATCAGAGGGACATTCTCCCTGGAGTAACTGAGAGCTAAGTGCCTTACTCAAGGGCACACTAGTAGTGGTGTTCTAGGCGGGATTTGAACTCGCAACCTTCCGATCTTCAGCCCACCTCACTATTCATTAGACCACCAAAATAAAAAATGGTGGCCCCCCACAAATAAATCAATGTATGGGAAACACTGTATGTATATAATATCCTGCTTTATACTTTGTTTACTGTAAACTGGTATTTCAACATGTATATTTTCTACTTTTTTATTGCTGTTTTAAGATGTTTATATTTTAGAATTCTTCATTTCTACTCTTGTGCGTTCACACCAGCCTATAGTCCGGTTGAATCGAACCCTGGGGCGTTTAGCCGCTTGGTGCGGTTCATTTGGGTCGGTGTGAACACAATCCGAGACCTCTGAAGTGAACTAAACAACCGGACTCTGGTCCGCTAAAATAGGTGGTCTCGGAGCGCTTGCTTGCGAACTCTGGAGCGGTTCATCGCTGGTGTGAACGCAGTCCGCACCAAAACACAGGAAGCGTAGTATTTACGTGCCACAAGAACGCGGATGTCTTCAAAATCTTTCGTCATCCGCGGTTGTTAATTTAAAGAGTGAAGCAGAATGAAGTGTTGAACAGTGTCGTGTAAAGTAAAAAGGCTCCGTCAACTACATAAAAGTAAGAACACCTGTCGTCGGTGAAACGCCCCTGCTTACTGCGTTGTCTGATTATATAACCATATGCGCGGGCCGCTAGTGTCTGTTGATCTCTAGATTAACAGCAGCATGAGAATAACCTGCCGAAAGTGCCGATGCTCCATGGCGGAGGCTCCGGTAGAAATTGTCGGGATTTGCGTTTTTTTACCCCCTTAATGGAGGCTGTGGCTCAGTGGGTAGTGTGCTGGACTTCAAATCAGGGGGTCACAGGTTCAAACCCCACTGCAGCCAGCATGTCGTTGTGTCCCTGGGCAAGACGCTTCACCCCAAATTGCTCCTGTGGGGATTGCCCACAGTACCGAATGTATGTAAGTCGCTTTGGATAAAAGCGTCTAACAAGTGACCTGTAATGTAATGTCTGACCAATGGGTGAACAGCATTTCCGAGCACATGACTTGTGTTTAAAGTTTATAGTCCGTTTGAGTTTTGCCGTGTGAACGCAAACCGAACCTTCTGGAAAATGAAGCAATGGAACAAACGTCTGGTGCACCAGAGAAGCGGCTATGAGGTGTGAATGCGACCTAAATTTCTCTTATGTGCAATGCCTTGTCTGTTATGCTGCTGCAACGCAAACATTTCCCAAATTGGGATCAATAAAATACATCTTATCTTATAGAGTACAAAAGGTTTTTATGAAAATAAAGGCATACATACGTTACATATGTCAGAGAAACAATAACATCTTAGGGAAACATAACCACATCCTAACCTTTATCTGAAACTGAGAGCCAAAACGTGTCTGTCACACAAATTAAGAGTTTAAAAAAGCCTCTCACTATGTACTCGGTGTCAATTTAAAAGCTTGAATGGAGGAAATTACAAAAATCTCATGGTCCACTATAATAACCATAACCACACAGGAAATAAACGTGTTGCGTGGTTATTGCCTGGGTTACAATCTTTCATTCATCGAAAAACGTCTGATATGTCAAGAGGTTATAATGTTGACATCATGCCATAGATGTCAATGTATTGAGTTGCAGAGATAGCTACTGAAATTAGCATGCTAACTGATTAGTCCCGTCCTGTCTTGACATACCACTTGTCCCGCTGTAGTCTGTGACCTCATTTGGGCCCAAACATACTTTGTTCCACATTGGGAAAAGGATTGAATCGATTGGGGGCAGGGCTCGAGGAAAACACTTGCTCTTTGGCCCCAGATTGTTGTACTGGGTAGTCAGGCCAATGCGCAACTATCAGAGGAATGAACGGGGCCCTGCTTGAAACACCATATCCAATTCTCTCTATACATCCATGATCATGATAAGTGGTCCCTGGCCATGACAACTACGGTAAAGCCCCTGTCACACTGTCCCGAAATGTACACCCGATGGACACACGAATATGGAATTGTGAATTTCGCACGAAGATGGCCCCGAACCACACACGAAGGCAACATTTACATTACATTTAAGACATACAACTGCAACGAAAGTAACACAAACAATTATGTTACAGTACTATGATACTGTACTGATATCTTCAGACTTTGTTCTTTACTTTCTCCGTCTTTATATGTAGAAGACATTACGTTTTCTCCGTCATGTTGTTTCCATAGCAACAACAACTTCCTGTCAACTCGCCTTCAAAATAATATATTATATCCTTTTTAGTTTCACAGAACACAAGTTGGGTTATTTACATAATATGTTTACATGATTTTGTTGTGCAATAAAAAACCCGATGGACACACGATAAAGGAAATGTTCAAATTCTGCTCTGATCGTAGCAACATCGGGCCATTCGTGAGGGCATCTTAAGCCTTCGTATGACCGCCGGTGGACTTTCTAAGGCTCCGGCAGCAACTTCGTGAGCGGTGGCAAAATCTTTGGCATGTCAAAAAATAAGGTTCATTTTCGTGTTGAATTCGTGTGTCAATTGTGCCCTTCGTAAGGCCATCGTGAGGGCATCGTGTTATCATCGGTGCCATCGGGCATTCGCCCCGATCAGAGTGAGGGCGAATGCACCGATGATAACACGAAGATGACACGATTTGACAAGATGCCCTCACGAGTGCCTTACGAAGTTGCCGCTCACGAAGTTGCTGCCGGAGCCTGAGAAACTCCACCGGCGGTCATACGATGGCTTAGATGCCCTCACGAATGGCCCGATGTTGCTACGATCACAGCCGAATTTGAACATTTCCTTTATCGTGTGTCCATCGGGTGTCAATTCCGGGACAGTGTGACAGGGGCTTTAAGGTTAGTTTATTTGTACAGCACATTTTAAGACACAGAGGCAATTAAAAGTGCTTCACGCAGGCATTTAACGCATAATGATTTAAAAATAATTTTTAAAAAGGCGATAAAATAATGGTTGCAGCGAGAAGTGCAATAATAAGACACGGTTATAGCATCTCAGGATAGGCAGTATTAAAAAGAAACCTAAATTTAAAAGAACCCAGGGTTTGGGCGGACCTCAGATTTTCAGGCAGTTTGCTCCAGGCTTGTGGTGCATAAAAGCTAAAAGCTCAAAACTAGTGATTAGCAGTGATGAGACTTACTAGCAGTCTGTCAGAGGAGGCGGTCAGCCGGCTGTAATAATGCACTCTGCTGTTGAGGATGGCCGCCTCAGCAGAGACCCTCTCCTGCGGGACGTCACCCACGATGTTCCTGGGCTCCACGTAGAAAGGTCTAAAAAAAGTAGAGGAAAATAACGTCAATTAAGGAATTCAGTTTTTCATAGTCCATTAAATCTAACATACCAAGGACTCTTTAAAACCAGCTGTAGGAGCCAAAGTGCTGAGTTAGCCTGTTTTTATAGTTGTATTATTCCCATTATTTGTTTACACCACACACAGTGGTAATTAGTAGTGTCAGGTTTGGTATATGTGCTTTACAGTATGTCCTAGAAAGCTAGTTGGCCACTGCGAAATAGCTAACTGGATTAAAACTCACACACAGTACTAATACTCAGGTGGTACAGGACACACACATTCAACTTCTCAGTATTTGCTTGCCATGAGGGTACACACACACACACACACACACACACACACACACACACACACACACACACACACACACACACACACACCACACACACACACACACACACACACACACACACACACACCACACACACACACACCACCTACACACACACACCTACACACACACACACCACACACACACACACAACACACACAACACACACACACACACACACACACACACACACACACACACACACCACACACACACACACACACACACACACACACACACCACACACACACACACCCACACACACACACACCCACACGTGTCTGTTGACTGGTATTAAAGCTGTCATTATAGAGTCTACCCCCTCTTTCGTATTGAACATGACCCTCAGTGTGTGTCTGCATTATTCTGTCACGCAGGCGCAGTGCTGGTGATATTGTGATATTGATCGGTGTCGTGTTTCTACCTTTTAGCCCTGAAGTCCAGGGAGTCCGTGGAGCCTCTCTGGGAATAGCTCTCTACCGTCTGCTGCTCGGAGCTCAGCAGAGGCCTGCACTCGTCCTCCATGATGCCTCAGACGTTCAGCTACAGCCTCCCAACGCTCATCACCTGACTGGGAGGAAGCATGTTGTAAAATATAATCAGTAACTGGCACACAGCAGCCGTAAAACATGCAATATTTATGTCGAACAGTCGGTAAGTGCACGAGCATGAAGTCACAGTAAAGGAATTACTTTCTACTTGCTGTGTGAAGCCGTTGTATATTTGTGGTGTAGTACTTTGTTTATTTGTAATTTTCTGTGCATTTAACTCCACATATTAAAGACAGTCATCCTATTTCTTCTCAGATAGACTACGTACGTTGACCTGACTGTAGTATAAAAACAGGAAACATTGCTTAGCGTAGCCTAAGGTGGGCAATAAGACAGTAAACATCGTCAAAACTGCATACAATTACATTTCGTTTGTATTCATCATAGCATCTAACCCAATGAAGCCTAGACATATTTCCTTATTCTCTCTTCATCATTTCACTTACAACTGTTATGTTCACACTGCATCAAAGTTATACAAATACTAAAATACTTCAAAGACGCATATGTAGTGTTTTGTAATCCCCACTTCGATTTGTCAGACTACAAATGGCGTGGCACCTCTATTTCAGGGATGCCAATTATGTTCCACTTATATCGCCAAAAGAGTCGAACGTAAAGCCGAAAGACGCATATCCCCTTTGCTTTTGTTATACCTATATATAGTACCATCGGTGCAAAAGAAACTGTCACATTTCAGGTCATATTGCCCACCCCTAGCCCCCTGATGCTCTGTGTCTAAGAGCTGTAAACCACTGGGGGATCTGTTTTTGGAGGAACTAAATCAAAAGCTAATTTCACTTGATTTTAAGTTTTGATTTGAAATTGTGACACCCTGCTCAGGACCCGAGGCATCACAGTGTTCGGTGTTTGGGTGAGGGGTTCTCAAGATAAACCACACCCAACAATACAACAGGAAAATCACTCAGACTGTTGAAAAGCAGGCATCGTTTTTGAGCATTTTCTAAAATTGCCACAACAATGCTGACCTTACTGCCGTGGCATTCTAGCTAGTAATCACTTTGCCTGGGTATAATTCAAGGCTCTAAATAAATGAGTGGTATATACAAGTATTTGACTTGTTGCCGCTTCTTTAACACTTATATTCTGAAGCAGAGTGATTCAGATGTTTCCTTTAATCAGGTGTGAAGATGGTTTATTGCATACATTCGATAGGAGGACCTCTAGTGGCGCTGCAGTGATCTCGACAGGAGACACACAAACTGGTTTCAGAGTTCTTTAGGTTCACACAAAGGAGCTTTAAGAGACCAAATGGTTCTGATCCAGACTCCAGGACCCCCCCTTCCTCTTCCTCTTCAAGCTCAGCGAGTCACAGAGCCACGGCCCCCTGATGTTTGTCATGTTTTTACTTATTGTTCATGTATAATATAAAGATTTGATTCCATTCTATGGCGTTCTTGTGATGATACTAGATAGTCTTTTCCTGGTTTTAAGGCAGCATTACAGTGACGTCATCATCATTCCCTGAACTTACTAGACTACTGTTAAAGCTGATGTTTGATATGCCTTTGTCATTAAATCCACATTACTGATAAATATGTATGTCATTCTGAAAGTATTTAGTAAACGCAAATGGGACACCAAATTATACAATATTGTGTCAAAATGACATTGAGGTATTCGGTTAATTACTGTTGTATTTTCATCTTTATACAACTTGATGAAGTTTAAGTTTTACACTATTTAAAATGTTAATAGTCTTGAGATGTTGATCAGGTGAACAACATGTCAGCATAAAGGTTTTACTGTACGGTATTCACTGTATGGTTATTATTTTTAAGCATTCTTCCTATAAAAATAAAAATATTTTTACTATAAAATAGGGTATTTTTATTTATTTTTGAGCTTTTAAGGTTCTTTGTATATTTGTATTTGCTGTAAATGCTTGTCTTTTTAATTCTAAATATATTTCTTTAAACTTATTTTCTTAGATTGTTTATGTTTGCTCCACCAGACACCAGTGTGTGTAAACTACTTGGTAGGGCTGCACAATATATCGTGTCGTGACGATAATCGCGATATGCGAATGCGCGATATTCACAACGCAGGAAGTGCGACTTATTTTTGTATTTATTTAATCTTTTTTTTTTTTAGGACGTGTGATATTAAGTAGGCAAATTAACTCAAACACGTCATGTTACAATTATTTTTGCTGCTTGCTACAAAAGGAAAACTCACGTCAGGGTTACTTGAGTGAGTGACATGCCGGCTCTGCATGCACAGCAAACCACCAATCACAATCAAATCTCCAAAGCAAACGGACCCGGTGATTAAAAGGTAAAAACACTGAATAAAGTAGTTTCATGTGTTTCTCCAGGGCAGTTCGGCGCTGCGAACCGAGCTAGCTTAGCTTGATGAAAAAAATAGCAATTGCGTAGCATTACAGTTCAAGAAAATATGGTTTGCGGACAAAGAAAACTGCCTTTTCTTCAATTCCTGTATCTTTTCATATCGCAATATATATCGCAGGGGAAGAAAATATCGCAATGTCAGTTTTTTCCAATATCGTGCAGCTCTAGTACCTGGCAAACAACTTGATTCTGAATCTGCAATTGTATTATTACACATTAAACACAATTACATTGCTACTTGTTAACCATGCTGTACATATCTGTTATTTGTTTTTTACTTATTGTGTTACTAATAACGTGTGCCAGTCTATTCTCCTCACTTTATCTGCTGTTGTAATAATGTACATTTCCCGGTTGCGGGACGAATAAAGCATTTCTGATACTGATTGTTAAAGACGTTGGTGCTACACAAATAAAGCTTTATACAAATGTAAAAACCTGCTACTTTAGAGACATGTCCATGTTAGAAACCACAGTGTGTTATCTGCAGCAGAGGAAGCATATTGTAGCAGCTGAGTCATTCGCTGACAGGACAAACAGCTCTTCCTGCCAACATGCTACAGATCACGTGACACACACACAGCTGGGAGATACACAGGGTTTGTTCAAACACTGGCTCTACTTTACATACAATCAATCAATCAATCAATCAATCAATCAATCTTTTATAGCCCAATATCACAAATGTTACATTTGTCTCAGTGGACTTCACAGTTTGTACAGAAACTACGAACACATACTATAATACTGTTGTGCTAGTGGAGGAATTGTACTGAGTAACCAAGTATCTACTATCTATCTACTCAAGTACTGTACTGTCTGTACTTAAGTACAGTTTTGAGGTACTTGAGTATTTCCATGTAATGCTACTTTGTGCTTTCACTCCACTACATGTATTTAATACCTTTAGTTACTTCACAGATGTGGATGAATGATGTGAAATCTAATCAAGTGTTGAATCAGACTTTAGTTCCACCTGGAGTAAATCCACCAGCTACCCTGCAGAATACAAAGTCATTCAAACTAGCTGCACCTTTACCAGCTTTGAGAACACTTTAATGATCAATCATTATAAAACACATCATATATATTATTCTGAAATGGACCAATCTGCACAACGACTACTTTTACTGTAGCTACTTTCACTATATTTTGATGAGAATACTTTTCTACTTTTACTTGAGGAACATTTTGAATGCATGCCTTTTACTGTGACAGAGTATTCCTACACACACAATATATGTGTACTTCTACTCAAGTACAATATCTGAGTACTTCTCTCAGCTCTGTGTGAAACTGAGACTCCAACGTAAAGCAGGAAATTACTAAAGTAAGAAACAGCTGAGTCTACAAATCTCTTCTCTTCCCGGGTGTCTACTTTCTGTTCCCTCTGTTCCCTTGGTGAACATTAACTAACTTATCCAGGTAGAAACACATGCTAGCTAAGCCTTGACATTAATTAGCTCACACACTGTCATTATATCTTAGCATAGTTAACAATATATATGCAGCATTCGTGCCAAAGTGTGCAGTGAAGCTCCTATTGTCTTCAGCTCATCTCAGGTGTGCTGCATCAGCAAATGTCACAGCCAGCAAGTTGCAATAACGTCACTAAAAATACTAAAAAGCACCAGACGTAAACACACAGTGCTAAAGTACTCTTCCCAGATAAATACAGTAGAGACAATGTGAGTAGCAGCTTACTGATACTGGATACAGCCCGAGTGGTAGTCAAATAAGGATATTCCCTCTGCTGAGATACGAGCTGAGCGTCTGGTTGTTATTCCTGCTTCTTCTTCTTCTTCTGCTTTTCTTGGCTTTGTATTTCCTCTTCTTCTAAGGTTTTATTAGGAACGTGACACTCCACAGCGCCACGTGCTGAGCGGCATGTGCGCGTGCAACTGCAACAACACATGTGGGAAAACGTCACACTTCCTTTGCTGATTACACAATTTAGACTAGGTTGAAGAAGTACTCACATCTTGTACTTGAGTAAAAGTATAAACACCAAAGAGTACTCTGTTACAAGTAAAAGTCCTGTTTTCAAAATGTCACTCAAGTAAAAGTACACAAGTATTGGAGAATATACTTAATAAACAAAAGTATAGTCATTGTGCAGATTGGTCCATTTCAGAATAATATATAGGGGAGAAGGGGGTAAATTGAGCCAGTGGGTAAATTGAACCACCCCCTGTAACCAGGCAACGCCAAGTGACCAGAAATTATGCAAGCTCCACCCATTTCTCATTTCCTGTGAAAGAGAGATACTCATTGTGGTCTGGTTGTAATTAAACATTTTTACAAAAAACCGTGTTTTGCTTGTCAAAGTACATTTTCTAGATGTCAGCTATATCGGCTGACATGTAAAAAAAAAGTATCCAGGTTTAAACACATATATTGTATATGTTGATGTGTTGGCAGCGTATTAAACCTTGTGAATCATTAAGCTAAAGATGACTCTGAATTTGAATGCTAGGCTATTTTTTCTAAAATGGTGGCTATGGGGTAAAGTGAACCATGGGCCTTGGGGTAAGTTGAGCCAGTTTTTCAATGGAGAAATTAATGAAAGTAGGCCAAGTTGATAATAAGAGCTCATTGTAGGCTACATTTAAAGTTGAATTTACCCTGTGTTTGATTGGTAAGATGTATGAAATTGTATCATTTGTATGCTTACTTTTCCTTTTAACATGTTAAAAAAAATCAATTAATTCAATCGAAATTTATATTACAAATATTTGAAAAACTAAGCTTGTATTTGGTTTGTTATTTATTGTTTATAGTTACCTTTAAGATGTGTTGTAGGTATGCCCAGGTTTGAACAGTGGTTCAATGTACCCCCTGACCTGGATCAACTTACCCCTACACTGGGGCAAGTTGAGCCACAAGACTTTTTTTTAGAAGTAATATTTTCACTGCCCTTGATCAAATATAAATTCTTATCATTGCCATTGATAGGAGACATCCTGAATTATAGGTGTGTGTTTTCATTTGTACTATGTGTCATTTCTCCTTGCTTAGAGGACAGCATAACTCAAATATGGCTCAATTTACCCCACTCTCCCCTACGATGTTTTATAATTATTGGTGCATTAAAGTGTTATCAAAGCTGGTAAAGGTGCAGCTAGTTTGAATGACTTTCACATCAGTAATCCAAATCTGTAAAGTAACTAAAGGTATTAAATAAATGTAGTGGGGTAAAAGTACACCACTGAACCGTAGTGGAGTAGAAGGAGCATAAAGAGGTTATACTGAGATAAAGTACAAGTATCTCAAAACTGTCTTTGAGTACAGTACTTGAGTACATCTACTACTTAGAATATAATTGGGAGGGACGAAACCCTCTTTAATGGTCACACATGCAGAGCACCCAGCACACACAGTGACATGTGTTCTCTGCTTTTAACCCATCCTAGTACCAGGAGTCTAGTACTAGGAGCAGCTATTGTACAGCGCCCGGGGAGCAATGGGAGGGAGGGGGGAAGGGGGGTGTCCGGTGCCTTGATCAAGGGCACCACGGCAGGGCAGGAGGTGAACTGGGACCTCTCCAAGTAGCAGTCCACTCTCCATATGTTAGGTCTGGTCGGGGACTGAAATGATGATATCAAAAGTTAGGAAACCGCTGACAGCAAATTCAGTGTCTCATTTTAGGTCAGGATTTCACTTCACCCCTTTGATGACAGTGAGACAGACCTGAGGTGAACTTGTACATTAAAAGGTCTTTTATGGGTCTTTTTCCTAAACTCCACACAGGAAGTTAAAGCTCCATATCAGGGCTGTCACTGTCACAGCTGATACTGCTGATCAAGAGCCGGGAGATAAGGCCTTCTCAGGAGGAGGTGAACCCACTGAGTAAACCTACGTCACGTCTGGGGTCTTCATGACCTCCATGACATCAGCGTTTCTCAAATCCAGTCTGAGGAATTTTGCTTTAAACGGTTTGTTATATTTCCTGATTCCCCTTGAAATCCCATCCACTGTTCCATAAATAACTTTGAGTAACACATACATTTTTATTGATTTAATAACATTTATTTATGTTATTTATTTATTTACTTGTTTGTTTATTTATTTACTTATTTATTTACTTATTTTATTTATTTACTTGTTTATTTATTTACTTATTTGTTTTATTTATTTTATTTTACTTATTTATTTTATTTACAAAGGTTAATATTGATATTATTTTCTTTCATTTACTTTCTCTCCCGACCTCTTTTTCTTGTCTGCCCTCTCCTTTACCAATACTCAGAAACACAAAAACAGAATGTATGTTATATCTGTATCTTACATATATTTATGTATATGTGTGTGTATATAAAGTATATATAATACATGATTGTAAAATAAGAAATATTAGCTTTTTAGCGGCTTCTATAACACTATTTTCTGAAGTAAAGTGATTCAGACTTTTCCTTTCAGACAGAATGCAGTAGGTGTATTTCAAACCTCAGATAGGAGGACCTCTAGTGGCGCTACAGACATTTCAGAGTTCTGCAGATTCTCACAGAGGAGCGTTAAGAGACCAAACGGTTCTGATCCAGACAACACAGGAAGGTTGTTACTTGCTTCCTCGTGGAGACATTTCCAAATGTAGAAAACGACACCTTCATTTAAGTTCCTGTGGATTTCATGTGTGTGAGTTACACTTGAGAACATGTTCACTTTTAATCATTATGACCCGAGCCATTTTTACAGAATAATAAATGTCCGTTTAGCTGGATATCTTTATTGTAAAATTGGACAATTGCTTATTCAAATGGGAACCAAAATAAGTTTTATACATTTCACATTTGAGTCAGCATGTAAAACTAAGTGTATTAAAGGTCCCATGTCATGGCCATTTCTACTGATCATAACTCCATTGTTGAGGTCTACTAGAATATATTTACATTGTTCAATGTTCCAAACTCACATTGGTTTCTCACAGCATCTCTGTAAAGTGTGTGTATTCACTCTCTGTCCTAAACGGCTTGTTGGAGCTATTACCCAGAGGCCATCAGACTTGTGAATAACTCTCTCAGACATCCCCCCCCACCCCTCCACATGATCCCAGTCATGACCAACAGCTCTAACACTGGCTGTCAATATATTGTTTCCATACTATACATTCATATTCACATCCACACTGTTGTATCTATTTATTCTTATGCATATGCCATACTCTACACTGCTGTTTATATATCCTGTCTATTTTTGTTTTATCATGCATCATGCACTTTTATTCTGAGACAGGAATTTTTAAATGTGTGTCAGCTTGTATTATATATATATTTGTATCTTATACTTAATATTTAGGTGTGGAGAGCTGAGCGCAAGAATGTCATTGTACAGTACAGTACAACTGCCCGGTATACTGTATATGACAATAAGATATCTTGAATCTTGTACTTATTGTTTTATTCTGTAATAAAACCATTGGTGTTAATCTGTGTAACAAAATCAGTTAACGGCATATCTTGTCCCCTACACTTTTTTTCCAATGTAAATCGGATGTCATAGTGCATGAAATAACAACAAAACAAGGCTCGTTTATAAAAAAAAAACGCCAGGGGATTTAGTAACTGCCACTTGTCACTTTGCAAAGCTGGCAGAAGTGAAGCATCCCTGTGTACGATGTGTCTGCTACTTCAGCACCATGGACAGCGCCATGGACGTATACAAATACTCATCGCATTATTTAAACATATCTTCATCAACTCTAGGAAGCTTCCGAAACAAGCTGCAACATGTCAGGTGGGAAAGAAAGGATTGTCAGGAGCTGATGTGTTCATGTGAGGCCCCTGAAATGCATATGGCAAACCAGACGTTTCAACAAGGACAAAGAAGTGAAAAGGATTCAAGACTCAAGGCTTTATTGTCATGTCCACATTACAGTGCAGATATGGCATTGAAAAAACGTCAGTCACAGGCTCCTGCAGCAATGCAACATGAATATATATAGGACATAAAACAAATAAAACAATAAAATAGTGCAAGAGAATGTTTTGAGATGTGGAAGTAAATACAAATAAAATCGAAATAGTGCAAGAAAGGTCTATATATACGAATACATGGAATATAAAAGTCAGTAATATAGGTTATTCTGCATGTAAATGGTGTGCAAAAGCTGAAATCAGACATTTCATTCCAGGAGGGAGTTTCTCTCCCCTGCCTAAACATAGTGACATCACTATGTAACAAGTGCGATTCGATTGGCTATTGCTCCAAATCATTGTAAACATGTCACAGTAGAGGCACACAATGGGCATTATACTGTATGTTCCCCTTAATGATAAAATCCTTTAATTTAAGATGAAATGCCCTAAAACACATGTGTCAAACTCAAGGCCCGGGGGCCAAATCGGGCCCGTGGTGGATTTAATTTCGGCCCGCAGGATAATTTCTAATTCCTATTAGATCTGGCCCGCCGGTATATTGCACGCACACCTTCACTCCATCCTGAGGGTCTCCTCTGCTCAGAGCCTGAGCCCAAACATTGATGACCTTGCACCCAAGATGAGATGCCAAGTATCTGAGCTAGCATCACAGAGCAGCACACTGAGTTCAATGGATGTTTCCTTCTGCACTTTCTCTCTCAGGACAACAGGGCATGTTTGGTTTTCTCTTTGAGGGGAATAGTTTTGTTGAAGCTGTTGTTGGCCTGTGGAAAAATGTACTCATAAGAAATGACTCTGGAAAAGCTGCAGATAGAGCCATAAGAAATGAATGCAGCTGATTATTTAATGTTTAATGTTGTTTTTATAGGCAATAATTTAAGCTTTGTTAGTTCCAGGTTTAAAGTGTGCAATAAGTTCATTTCAATACGTTTTGCAATAAACATTAAACCAGTCCGGCCCTCGACTAGTACCCATTTTCTTTTCTTTTTTGGCCCACTGTGTGTTTGAGTTTGACCCCACCTGCCCTAGAATATGTATGATCCCTGATTATTATAGAATATGAGTATAACAGGCAGAGTGAGTTTGATGTTAGTGAGCTAAGAAAAACAAAGTGGTACACGGTCAAAGCATTTCATATGAGGGTCTGGGGCCCTGCATCACTCCTCAAAACTACCTGCACACACCTCAGGCAGCGATGAATCAATACTTGCATGTTTTGTTCAGCAGGATAATCTGCACATATTAACACCACTTTAGGATTTTTTGAGGTGTTGATGCAATAGCCAGAATCACGATTGAATGACTCACTTCGCCGCCACGAAGCTAAAGTCACACTTGTGTTCAGCGTGATGACGTCTTGTACCCTTATTTACTTTAATGAACCAAAGTTAATATCGGCTTGTGTTAACCACAAACCTTACTAAGGGCTTCTAACCAAAACAAATTGACTTTGAGAGAGGAAACTGAAAGTGCTAAAATGCTAACTCATTCCCAGGTTTTAGGACTCATTCCCACACCAATATCCCACAATGCTTTGCGTCACTCACTGCCATCAGCGTCACAATCATATTTTCTTGATGAAATCACAAGTTTGAGACTTATTTCTCTGGGTTTGAGAGTCAGTAGCTCATGCTCACACATATTGATTGAACTTCCCTATAGGCTAAGGAAAAGCAAGCATTGGAATTCTTTAAGGTGTTGCTCCCCTTTAATGCTGAATATTCCCAAGATATTTTGATATTTGGCAGCTGACATTTGAATATCAGTCTCAAATATGAAATAATTGTGCTTCAGACTTTGATATGTTCTTATATAATTGTCTTACATAAGGAGGGTTCATGGTTGTACATAATAAGTGGGTCTTAATCACCGGAAGGATTTACTTTTTTTGGCATTTCATTATGACATTTCAAATCATACAATCATGATGCAATACAACTAGCTTATATCTCCTAAATTGTTGTCTCAATCAGTCAGATATTTGGAAGACTGAATGTGTGATATGATGCATATTTTCCTCATAAATCGATATTCCTGGTTATAGTATGTGCGGATGGCCTTGATGCAGCTTAAGTGAGTCTGCTATGAAAGCTCCACAGCCAGCCATTGTGCAAACCGTGTCTCTTTAACTGAGGTATTCTCAGGACGGGGAGGGGGGGGGATGGGTTCATCGGGTTCATGTAGTATTGGACGCCTCCTCCCATTTCAGGTTGGCTGCTTCCCTGGCTCCCTCGGTAAAGGGGTGTCTGTGAGGCATGTAGGTGATGGAAAGTGGCTTGGGAGTTTGCAGAGGAAACGGCTAAACAGTCAGCTTGACCTTTTTTTCGGGACACACAGCTCGATCAGCTGGTTGACTCCACACTAGCTGCCATTTTTAGGTCATTCGAGGCATCTCGCTAACTTGTGTGTGTAGCTACAGACAGCTGTATGAATAAGCCTGCTTTATTCATATATTAGTCGCCCACTGGGGTGTTGTCTAGTGGTGGAATACAAATCATGATGGCTGATGGATGTTGCAGAGGGATGGAAAGAGGCAGGGGTAAGATTGCATCAGATTCTTTACCGAGACCCACATATCCTCAGCAATATGTTCAGAGCGGATCCCAGCAGCAGCAGCAGCAGCACCAGCAGCAGCAGCACCAGCAGCAGCAAGGCAATGACATCCAGGAGTTAGCCTCCAAACGAGTCGACATCCAGAAGAAACGCTTCTACCTGGATGTGAAGCAGAGTGTGCGCGGACGCTTCCTCAAAATCGCCGAGGTGTGGATCGGCAGAGGCCGGCATGACAACATCAGGAAGAGCAAGCTGACGCTGTCCATGTCCATGGCCCCGGCGCTGCGCTACTGCCTGGGGGACTTCATCGATTATTACGCACGGATCGGACTGCGGGGGGGCCTCGCGGCACAGCAGTTCGAGGAGCACAGCAACAACGGCCAGGGCCGCGCGCACGACTCCCGCAGAAGAGCGCAGACTGAGCCGCACGCGGCGCTGTCCCCTGGCGGCTCCGCGGGCTCAGTAGACGAACATGCCCACCGCGTGCTCAAGAGCGAGTTCATCGAGAGGGACAACAGAAAGTATTACCTGGATCTGAAGGAGAACCAGAGAGGGCGATTCCTCCGCATCCGGCAGACTGTCAGCAAAGGACACGGAACCATGGGGTACTACGGTCAGGGCATTGAGCAGACCATCGTGCTGCCCGCGCAGGGGCTCATCGAGTTCCGGGACGCGCTGTCTCAGCTCATCGAGGACTATGGAGACAGCGACGACCGAGCCGCCGCCAGGAACCAAGACGAAGACCCCGAGCTCCCCGAGGCTGCGTCCTTCAGGGTGGACAACAAGAGGTTTTACTTTGACGTCGGTTCCAACCGGTACGGTATCTTTTTAAAAATCAGCGAGGTGCGGCAGCCGTACAGAAACACCATCACCGTCCCCATGAAAGCCTGGGCCAGGTTTGGAGAGAATTTCATCCGGTACGAAGAGGAGATGCGACGAATTTTCTCGTCCAACAAAGAGAAGAGGATAGACGCCCGGCAGGACAGTGAGGAGCCGGAGGACTGACCTTGCAGTAGGCTGTGTATTTTGCATGTATTCTAGGGATTCTGTTCATGAGATATCCAGAATGACCCTAAATACTCTCCTTATGTGTCCCTCCCTAATAGCCTATAATGCAGTGTCCAGTGTTGGCTCATCTACCAAGGGCTGGTAAACTATAATTATAACCTGCCAAGAAGTTCATATCCCATCTGTTGTAGTGGAAAATATTGGTTTTCTAACATTTTCATTGCCCGGTGCTGTTTAGTGCACCAGGGGCACACCAAACCTATTCGGGGCCCTGAGCATCATTTATAAATCCCCCCCACCCCTCCCCTTTAAACTTGAAGAGTGTACAGTAATTATAAGTGACATTGAAAGATGATGCTAGTGTTATTAGGAATGTGGTGCCTGCTAAACCACTTTAATATTTTGGCTCGGAAAGCGTATAGAGCGGTACAGTGATGACAATATGTTGTTGGCCGACCCAAAAGTTAGCATTAATTGCCAGAATGACCCTAAATATTCTCCTTATTTGTTCTTAATACCTTATAATGCAGTGTCCCATATCATCTACCAAGGGCTGGTACACTACTAATTGTAACCTGCCAATACGTTTATAGCCCAATGATCTTGAACATGTCAACTATTGGTTTTCTAACATTTCCAATGCTCAGTGCTATTTAATGCACTTTAGCCAGGGGCAGACTAAACCTATTTGGGGCCCTGAGCAGAATTTTTAAATCCCCCCATCCCTCCCCTATAAACCTGAAGAGTGTACAGTAATTATAAGTGACATTGAAAGGTGATGCTATAGTGTTATTAGGAATGTGGTGCCTGCTAAACCACTTTAACATTTTAGCTCCCAAAGCATATCAAGTATTGCCGAAAATAAGATATATCCGGGTAACACAAGTTTGTGATACTTACACGTTTTGATTTGAAGGATAATCATACCGTAATTAAATTATTGCAAGCGGCAGTAGTAAAAAGCTAACGTTACGCAATAAAGGAACTACATCATGGATGAGCATCGCCACCGCTAAGCTAAAGGCAGCTAATGTTTGGCATGATGACGTTTATTTGTCTCTTTTAATCATTAGTCCGTAACCCCTGTTTTTAACACACATAGAAGCCTCTGACATTTACCTTTGGGGTATTTACTGATGTATGTTATGGTGTAGAACATAACGTGTAAATCTCCCCGGCTTGTGTTAACCATCTTATTTCAGGCATCTAACCAAAAACCAGTTAAAAAAAACATTGATGTCGAGACGAGGGATCTGGAAGTGGTAAAAATGTTGACTCATTTCCAGGATTTAGGACTCATTCCTGCACCTTAATCAGTTTTACGATGCAGAAAAACCACAAATGATCGCTGAAGGAAAAAAAAAGAAGAAGATATATATAATAAATATACTTATTATGTATTCCGTATAGATCGTGCAATGGGAAAAATACTAAATTTATTCATTACATTTACATTTAAATAGCAACTAAAAAAGAACAGAAGACCTCACATATGGGATCTGCTTGTGTTTTGACAAGTGTTGTGACAGGCCTCACACTGCTGGTGTGTGTTGCCCGTCAGTGGACCAACTATGGTTAATCCTATACTGGTTTGTCATTCATCAGAAAGAATTACAATTGCCACATTTGAATAATACTACAAAACACACACACACAGAGAGTAGATGATACCGTTTCCCCGCAGTGCATTCTGCAAAAGCACTTTGTGAAGGCGACCAGAGCGAAAGAATAGCCTGCAGTGTGTCAGATGTAGCAATGTGCTGATTCGCTGCTTACCTCGGCAGCATGGAGGTGAGGGGAGAAAGGAAAGTTCAAAGGAGAAGCAGGACACTATGGGCTGGTTTCTGCTGTGTGTAATTTATCTTCCATTTCCTGTGATAACACACCGACACGGCCCTTTGTTAGTGTTCTGCCGTAGTGCTTTTGTCAGTGGAAAAGCACCGATCAGTTTACAGTTGTTAACCGAGTTGGCATACAAGCCAAAATGTATCCCAAAATGCATTAGCTAGTGCAATATATCTCTTTTATGATAAATCTATCCAACACAGGCACTTAGTCCACTAACACATTATAATATAAAACATTGTGTTCCAGTAAGATGAGTCACATGTATGTGACTTGGTACCTGCATTGAACTTTAAACACTTGAAAAGAATTGACGTGTGACATTTAAAGATCACCATATTAATATATTTGAATCTCTTCTCCCCATCCGGTTAAAGCAGAAAAGAGAAAACAGACGGTGACTGCTGCTTGAAAAGATATATGTAGATGTCATTATTCGTGAGGATAAGTGTGTTGCTGTTGTTATATCAGTTATACTATGGCGGTTCAGATTGACACTCTTGAAGGAAAGGTGTTTTACCCGTCTTCAGTAGTCTACACAATCACGAAGGAAAACCAACCAGACTGTTAAATGGGAGTGTGTGTGTTCTCTCTCAGACGAGGTGTTAAACTAAAAGCAGACAAAACACGGCTCTGCACCAAAACCTGAGAAAACAGTTATATTTTCACATTTATGCACCTTTTGTCGCCAAAATTCATTCATAACAGATTACTCTTGCGGCATGAGGAGGGCAACTTGTCAGCATTACGAGAATAATAAGAATAATACTGAAGAGGCTTAGTGCCAAGTGAGCATTTGTTGTTTTTCCCTGAGATTAAAGTCAGAATTTCTGATTTAAGAATTCTGAATTTAATCTCACAACTCAACAAAAGTCTGGACAAATTTCAGAAATAATTTTTTTTTCTTTACATATCCCGTTAATCATGAGTCCTGAGATTAATCCCCGGGTAGTGAACCAAGGACAGCTTGTAAAGTAATGCCTTTAAAACTGAAGTGAATACTTGAAACGTTTTCGGTTATTAATATGAAGTAGTGGGACAGCTCAGATCAGAAACAGGTGAAGGTAGACCTTGTTGTGGTGGCTTACAAAAGGCTCAGTGTCCTCTCAAACAGGCCTTGTGCCACCATCGAGCTTCTCTCTGCAGAACCGTGTATTTGACCTTTCCAAACTACTGTATCTACTGAAGAGGACGACATGTCTCACTCCTGTGCTGTGTTTGGCTGTCCCTAAAAGTGCTGCTTCCCCATTAGAGCTTGAATGGCAGGCGCTGTACATTGAGCTGTGTGTGTGTGTGTGTGTGTGTGTGTGTGTTTGTTGTGTAATGCGACCTGCATGCAAGACAAAGAGCCTGATTCAGACTGGGTTTAAAGGAATCTCTCTTAAAGCGACCATTTTGTTACAATTACTCACCTCTGTCCTTGAATTCCTGAAGATAACTTGGAGAATTCATCGAACGGCAAAATATCCTTATCTTAAAAGTCAAAAGTATATTAAAACATCCAACTACAAACTCACACACAACTCCACTACTAAATCTATTTACCAGAGATTTACTCAGAAAAGTTCTTCAATATCTCCATGTAAAGTGGACACTCATCCATATAGGGACATCACGATGAAACACTTCTGCTTCTATTGGCTAGCGCTCCAACACCTTTTACGTGATAGGCTAAGGGGCGGGACATCTGTAAAGGGTTGACCAATCAGAACTGAAAATGACTATAATAGCATTAGACAGTGAAAAGAGTTTCATACACACCATCATGTTAGTCCATAGACTGCAAGAGAAAAATGTCAGACACACAGATCTGAGTCTGTCTCAGTGTCACTCTGCAGGATGCACTGCTGTGAACTCCAAGTAAAAAGAGAGGAGGTCAGAGGAAATGACTGGTAGAGGTGTGTAGAATAAGTTCAGTGTAGATGTTTGTGCTGGTGTGATGCCTTTAGGTGCATGAGAAGCACAGGATAGTCGGGCTTGGTGTGTTTGTGTACTGTCCGGTGTAGGGCATGAACCTTCATGATTCAGTGAGTTGTTTTATTTTCATATGAATGGCAAAAGTTATATATAGCACTTGTAGGAAGTATAATTCAAAGCACAATATATTAGAATATATATTCAATGCTTTACATGGATTTGATTCAGTATGATAGCTAGTGATCGTTTGCTCAAGAGGCAAAGATTAAATGTCGCCCCGGTAAAACATATATAAAGATAAAGACGTGATATTTGTTCTCCTGAAAGATATTTCCGTCTTTTGTATTCCAAATATCTCTCCAAAAAGCACTTTAAATAAAAGCTGCACTTTCGTTCTGCTGCTCTGTAATCAGTCGACGGAGAGGGACCATTTAAGCCTTCGGTGTAAAGAGACAATCATGGATCCCTCAATCTGATGCAGTTAAACAAAACTCCCATCATGCTGTGTGTCCATTTCTGACTGACTACAGTTAGATAATACAATTAAAGCCAGACATTGAAGTCTCACTTTGTGAAATGAGCACAACGTCTGAGAGCAGATTTCCTCCTGTGGACAGGAACAGGCTGGAGAGCAGTATTTAGCAACGGCACTAACTAAGTCCCTTTTTGTCCACACAGGCTACTTCAAATATTCATATGTAATCGAGTCTAAAATCCACAGATTATAAGCAATGTCTCTAATGGAAAACTTTTGTAATTCAGTGGTAGAAAGTCACTAAGTACATTTACTCAAGTATTGTACAAACTTACATTATTTTTTCTCCATTTAATGCTACTGTATACTTCCACTTCACTATATTTCAGAGGAAGATAACATTATTTGTACTCCTATATTTATGTGACACTGACAATTGATAGTTTACATATAAACACATGATATACTTCATTGTTATGATGCTGTCCTGAACTACTAACCCAGACTCTAATGGCGCATTTCCACTACAGCGCGTTTTGGTTGTGTTTCCACTAGGCGTATTTCCGGCTAGCGGGTGCTTTTTCACAGTTTTCTGGCTCTCCCAAATCGAGGTTCTTTCCGGGCCAACAACCGGGCTGAGTATACTAAACTAGTGAGAGAATCTCTGACAACTACAACACAATGAACACATTTGACCGTGATTTAATTGTAATACACGTTTCAAAATGATGCCGAAGTAACAACACACTGATACCGGTTAGTAAAAACCATGAATTAATGCTTTGACAAGTCTGCAGACAGACGGCAGGCGAAACACCTTTTAAAATGCGTGTTTTCTGAATGGAGATCGGCTAAGTTAACGTTGTATCTGCTCCGACCGTCCACACTCACAACAACGGCCTACAGACATAAATAAACCAGCGACTGTATTCTCCATGACACAGACAGTCTGTGGTTTGTACTTGTTTAACTTTTGTCTAGTTTCTGAACAGATATGAGGAGCTGTGAGCTCTGAGGGCTAACAGCTAACGGCTAATGTTGATTTTGTGTTTCGCATTGAAGATGACATCACGGCTCCGCCTATACTGCGTTACTATAGTTACTGCCCCAGTTCCTAAACTGTAATGGAAAAGTGAGCCTGGCCTAACGAGGCCTAGCCATACCGTACTAAGCCGAGCGAGGCCCTGCAGTGGAAAAGCGCCATAACAGTGACATTGACGAATTACAATACTAAAATGTACTTGTGTGATAAACGGCCTAATATATTGTCAATTTTAATATATTACTGTATAAAGAGTCATTCTGCATCATGAGGACATACTTTAAGTACCTTTAGATAACAATACTTGTGTACTTTTACTTAAGTAACTATTTGAATCCAGGACTTTTACTTGTATGGAGTACTTCTTCCAACAATGATAATGTCCATCTGATCCATCCTAACCCTGCTGTCAGGAAACAAGGCATCGTTGCTGCTAACGCTAATTATGGTACATTTACAGCATGCTAAGCTATGTGAGGATTTTTAATTGGACATCATAGATGGCACTGCGACTGAACGCAACAATGTCGTTTTTTAGATTAGATGTTCTGATTAAATTGATTGATTTTCCTTTTTAAACGGAGCCTGAGAAAGACGTGACGGACACGTTTTCATCACGCACTATCAGAAGTAGTATGATATTGATGAACACAAGGCTCTTCTAACTCTGACTGCTCACTGATGGCAGATGTTTCAACGTTGTGCTCATTTTACAAAATGTAACGAGACCAACATGAACAGACTTTCTGATTCAAAATGACCCTGGCTCTAAAACCTCACTCGAGTGATTTGGTAGTGTTAGCTTTCATTGTTTTCTGTATATTTCAAAAGTTGTGCTGGATGCAGTGGTGTGCAAATATATCATAGTGCAGAGCAAAAGCAAATCAGAGTGAGATTATTTGTCTGACAGACTTAAAGGATTCACATATGAACTTCTACAAAATAAAAACAAGTATACATAGACAGATTTAAAAAAGAAGAAGCGAATGCCTTGTCTGTATTCATAATGTATTTGCATAATAAAAAGTGGGTATTTAATGTATTCATATTGGTTATGCTTTTTGTTCCCCTTAATATTAAACCACCACATCCTGTATCCTTTATTTAATACTAGTCAAAATGTGGATTCATCTCCAGATCTGTTGTAGCTCAACTCTGACCCAGAAGACAAGCGATAAGGAGGGTGAAGGGAATATGGAAACTTCCTGTTTGAAATGGTTAGCATTTAGCTAAAGCCACCGTTTAATCTGTGAGCATCGTGACGCTCTGCTGGTGCGTTTTCTCTACAGTAACGTATCTAGAGAAGAACATATGGGAAGAAATGGCGTAAATAGCTGTTGGCATTTTACTGACTGCTGAACACTTTAGATATGATAACCACCGTGGAGTTATACATATTAATACACACGTTACTCAATGAAACTTGTGATAATGTCAATAATATTTTTGACAAACTGAACCCCTTTGTCACAGTTGACTTCCTGCTTCAAATGTAACCTACTTTTAGCTTCATCTCTTAAGTGGTTTAGGCCAACTGGACTATAATGAGTGTGAAATAACGGTGGTGCGTCCCGGTTAAATTATTCATAAATGATGGAGCTGTGAAACAAAGCGTTGGAATTGATTTGCATGACGAAGAAGGGAAACCAGATACTTTTGAAAAGTGTGATATTTTCATTCATGTAAAGAGCGTGCGCATCCTCTTTGTACTTTAAAGGTGGCTGTAAAATAGGAAAGGTCACGGACAGGGGGGGGGGGGGGGGGGGGCAGCAGCTGTGCTCGGCTGGACTTTAGGGGATGTCACATCACGTCAAAGATTTAAAACTGTTGTCTGCTCCAGTTTATTTAAAGGTGGGGTAGGTACGTTTGAGAAACCGGCTCGAGATACACTTTTTGTTATATTCCATGGAATGCTCTTAACATTCCGATAGCAATGAATATCTTAAATGCTTTGACAATAAATACATTAAAATATATCATCTGTGGAAGCCGTAGCGCTGTAAAAAGCACGACCAATCATCTGAGCCGGCCCGGCTAAAGTAACTGGATGGCCTACCTGCCTGTCAGCCTTCCATCTGTGCACAAACTTATCTCGTGCCCTCATTGGTCATGTGCCAAAATCTGCCACTTCCGGTTGTGTATTTTCAAATTCTAGCGCACTCGAGCTGGTTTCTCCAAAATTACCTACCCCACCTTTAACTGCTTTTATACAACATTCAAAAAGGCAAGGTCTACTTTTCCTGGAGCTTCTAACCACATATGAGCGGTTGTCCATCCTCAGAAGTCTGAAAGGACATTAAGAAGTGACTTCACTCGCTGCTCCATCGTTACATTTAGGAAAGTGAAACCCAAGTATGTGTTGTTACATTAAAATGGCAAATACCATAGAGACTAACTGCTGCTACTGTCCTTGAAGTCTTGTTTTCAGTGGCCAGTGAACGCAGCGCTGCAGCAGGATGTAGATGTGGTTCTGTTCACAAAGACCCAATGTTCCTCCTCTGACGCCTTAACGCACCTTCACACGCCGACTGTGTCTCTGCTCGTCAGAAATATTGTTCCTGTAATGATACTAGATGGCTTATTATCCTTTTACACCATCAGAGTAAAGAGGAAGTGTGCGTGTGTCAGCGGTCGAGTGTTCTGCTGTTCGTTTTGCCTTCTGTTCACCATCAGAGTAAAGAGGGTGTGTGTGTGTGTGTGTGTGTGTGTGTGTTCACCATCAGAGTTTCGCAGTGGGGAGTTTAAAAAGAGTAGATGTTTGGTAATCATTCAAAAATGAACCGAAGTGAGTAATGAAAAGGTGTTTATTTAGATACATGTAACGTTATACATTGGTGTGTCTTATAGTCCTGTAGAGTAAGACTTTAAAAAACAAGGACGCTTTGTACTCCGGCACTTTCTTTAATGTGTACTGTATTAGTTCGTCTTCTACATATAAAGTACTGTATGAATATTCATTACTTGCCTTGTAATGTTTAAAAACAATGCTACGTTTAGACATGATAACCAAGAAAACAACGTTTTTAGAGTGTATGCATGCCAATGGTTGGGTCCCAGTGTAATAGGAAAAGTATATGGAAAAAATGGTGCTATGTTACATTATATAAAAGGTGCTTTAAGGACCCCAGCTGAATGCATGCAAAGAGGAACTCTCAAAAGAAGAACAAAATGGATGTCCTACTACTGTTCTCAAACAAGTGCTGCCTCTCATGTCTTGAAATTGGACTTTTTAATTGCTAAAACGCCCGTCAAGTTCCAACTGTGATCCAGAAAGCTGAATCAGCGGGTTCTGCAAAGCCACCGGTGTTTCCTCCGTGCTGTTGAGAATGCTCCCAACACAGGAGCATGTTACCTCAGAGAAAGAGCGCTTGAGTGGAGCATAACCGTAGCCATGGAGGTTGTTTCGAGAATTTCCCAATGAAGACAAGGACTGAAAAAGGCATCGTGTGTGGCAGACCTGATCACAAACGCTGAAGTCTAACTGTCATCAGTAGCCGCCAGGAGAAAGATCACGATCTGAAGTAAAGGCAACCAGTATCTCCAGCTGTAGTCACGAGGTGGTCTATTTACAGTTACACTGCCTTTGTAACATCGCTCTAATCGATATAAAGACAATCTATCGACATCATTTTGTACTCTTAATATGTGAGATGTTTATGTGTTTACGTATTTTTTCATGTAGCAGACTTATAGGTCAGCAAACATCAATATAACAGGTCGAAGTTGTTTGGAAAACGTTTTGCTGATTGCTGGAAAAGAAAAAGTGTATGTTTATTGGTTGTATTGACCATTTTTCTTTATTATGTTCATTAAATGTTTTACAGGATTATCAAAGCTTTCGTCAGATTTTCTTTTAAAGATTTGAAGTGACATACTGGACTGAATGCGTCTGTAAACAGTGTGTGGGCTGAAGTGTAAAACATGACGTACGCTGGCCTCTTATTCAAGATCAAGAATATAGTTTTAAATGTGTGTTAATACTGAACTCTGCATTTTGTTAAGTTACTTTACATTTACCATTTAAGGTTTACTGTGGGAAGGGGCGAACAATGAAAGAAAATATGTCAACGATGACATTTTATATTGTCCACAATAATGCTGCCACAGTGTAGAAAATACTCTGTTAGTAAAACTCAACTTTTAAAATGTGACTTACTTACTAATTTATTTGGGTAAAAACCATTCACATCAAAATATACCTATTATGCTTTTTGGGGGTTCTCCCGCTACTGTAGTGTATTCTATGGGTTTTTGTGCATGTAAATGGTCGTCAAATGCTAAAATCCCTGAAGTAGAGGACTCTTTAAAGTAGAGACACTACATACTGATATACACCTGAACATCAGCAGGAGAGGACTCTTTAAAGTAGATACACTACATACTGATATACACCTGAACATCAGCAGGAGAGGACTCTTTAAAGTAGAGACACTACATACTGATATACACCTGAACATCAGCAGGAGAGGACTCTTTAAAGGAGAGACACTACATACTGATATCCACCTGAACATCAGCAGGAGAGGACTCTTTAAAGTAGAGACACTACATACTGATATACACCTGAACATCAGCAGGAGAGGACTCTTTAAAGTAGAGACACTACATACTGATATACACCTGAACATCAGCAGGAGAGGACTCTTTAAAGTAGAGACACGCCATACTGATATACACCTGAACATCAGCAGGAT